AAAAGATTCCTTCGCTTCAGGACGACTGCGGTTACACTTGTACAGTATTTCCCCTAGTACTCGCGATGTATCGACCGTCACCCCGACTGAGGCGCTTTAGCTCTTCCACTTGGGGTCGATCGCCCCGAATGAACCACTCGGCCGCGAACATGATCGGTTCGCAACACGCGCGCATAATATTATATACGTACGAAATCGATTCGATGCCTTGTGCTTATTATCAATGTACGACGATAGATTTAACGGCTTAACTTTTTCTTTTTTCAAACTACTTGGGACGCGCGCGATCGTCATTCTTCGTTCTTCGTTTTTCGGTATCTCTTTCTCACATCGTTGCGCAATGTTCTTCCAAATCACGACCAAATACTTACCGTTTCGAATCTCACGGAACGTAGGTTCCGAGGGTCGCTTTCCCCTCGTATAGATCTTGTAAATAATAGCGCAATCGCGGTGAGAATTTAGATTTTTTGCGCTTCGATTTAGCTAGCGAGACATCGCGTGAGATATAATTAAGAATCGACATTAATTTACCTATGTATATGTACGTATGCATCGTGTGCTCTATAATTTCTTGCGAATCTCCTTCGCGCGTCTCTACGTCAATTAATTTATTCCCCACGCGAAATCATGATGAATCATCAAGGCCCAAATCTGGGTCGCAGTTAAAAGTAGCTGAGCGAATTTTACCGATTGTTTCATTACAGATGAATAGATCTTCAATTTAAATGTTTTGCCATTTGATCCCTTTCGCATATGAGTCCTTTGATTTAGAGTCGTCCTGTTTCGATTTACATTAATTGTCATAACCGTCAGTAAATTCGCCAATATTTGTGATCTGGATATGTATGATAAACGGTGAATAATGATGATAATGGCAATAGCCAAATGTAGTACAGATGTTATGATGCACAACGCGATTACTTTACGCGAATATTAATTAAATTGTATCGGTAATTTTTGTCTTTGACAACGAGCAGCAATTGTAACGATAGCTGTAACGATATTAGAAAAGATGTAAGAGAGAAAGAGAGAGTATAAAATCTTTATAAATATTTATTTTAAATACGCTTGGACGGAGGCATTTATTTTATATTGTATATACGTGATACTTTGTTATTTTATTAGCGATGTAACCGTATTATGCATTTGACAACTTAATTGGGAATATTTATATTTTTTTTTTTCGATGCTCAAATAACGCTGTTCGACAGAAGTAAATTGACACGTACATATAAATATTGTACTCTATTGTTTTTTCGTTTATCTGTTTGATTTTGAGTAGGCATCGAAATGTCAAAAAAGCCATTATCACGTAGTAAACTTCGACCCATGATAAACATATGCGTGAACGTATATTTGTAATTTTCGTAATTATTTCCAATAAGACGGCTAAAGTGTAGATAGTATAAATATATTTTCTTTTGTATTACAATTCAAAAAAATCTTAAGATAAAGTTCCTCGCGCATCTGACACTTCTTTGGGACCCGAGACGCGCCATCTTTCTTTGCCATTCCTGTCGTTTGTTCGTCAATCACTCGCGATGAAGTGGATAACGAATCATCGAGTGTTAAATGACAGAAAGAAAAAGACAGACGTCTCGCGAGAGCTTGTTCCTAAAGATTCACGACTGTCTTGGTGAAGTAATGGTCGCATAACGCTTATTAGTCCGTAAGTAAACTCTTTGTAAATATTGTATCTAATTTTGTAAATATACTCATGCACATTTCCGAGCACACCGAAGACCAGCACACTGCTGGAATATTACTGGTCATGGATACGTCTTAGCTATAATTGCGCGTTTAGGACTGTATAATTCTAATTGTATTGTATTGTACTGTAAATACGCTCATCGAATCACGCATTATATATTCACAATCTGTTAAATACGTATTAAATTAATTGCCACTTTCCATTTCAGCAAAGAACCATGAAAATAAACACGTTTGTTTTATAAAAAAGAAAAATACAGATCAATCGCGTTCAATCAATCCTACAAGATTCCCGTTTCAAATGTAAAAGTATTGCAAAGTAAGCGATTTTACTAACGTGTATAACAATTACGTGAAAACATGTAATTAATATACAGATTATTTGTTTCCGATCTTTTTCACAGTTAATATTATCGTTATTATAAATACGAGAGGAAAATTCTTATTTTGAAGAAATGTGTATCATAATATTTATAATGGTTCGATGTAACGGTTTCGATAATCGATATCTTCAATAAATTGAAACGTTTTCGAGCAGTCGATGATAATCGAGTTTACATTGCAGGCACATGTTATGTAGATTCGGTATTCTATTATAATATGCCAATGTTGGATACACAAGCGGCAACATGTAAGTTCCATGTTCTCGGATATATCATATATTAGCCCGATGGATTTGCGTTCTGGGCCGCTTGTAGCACGACTAACGACTTTGTCGTTTATTTCCCAAAAAAACAGGGAGTAATTCTCTCTCGCTGCAAGCGACTTCGCCGTGCCCCTGGTAAAAATACGTGCCGCTGCACTTTTTGATTATTTCTCAGATTTGCGATTGCGGTCAAGTTGAGTAACGACGACAGTAATTCGAGAGGAAGGCAAAAAAAAGAAAAAGGAAGGGAAAGAAAGACAAAGTACGGCGCGGAATAATTTATCGCGTAATTCCTATCGCGTAGAAAACGGGAACGCCGCCGGCGCGGCGACGACGGTGGTGTACATGGGAATGAAACGTTAAGGGTCGGCGATACATACGTCATGCAATTTGGATTATGACGCTCGAGACAGGAGCTAAAACGGAAGAGATTATAAAGCAAACATATTTACATTTTTTACACGAGTCTTACAGACACATGTAAACAGGTGCTCAGGGCATATATATATAAGCGAACTCAATTATGAATTCAATCACTTCAATCGGATATAATATTATTATACTTATCATATTATCATCGGTAACTTTAATAATGTATACAACAATTTATTTAGCTTACACATTTTAATCGTATATCGCGATAAGACGATTAAAATAGACGATTGCGATAAAGATACGTTTGTAACACACTTTCGAAATTCGTTTTATCAAACTAAAATCAAAAGTTGATCGAAAAGTTACTCGAGTAAACTGATCGAGTATGCCTTCTGACTTCTCACTTCTGGCGTCGTAAATCAAGATTCACGCAGAAATGGGTATCGCCGACCCTTAAATATAGTGCGTACGCGTCGGGAACAGCTTTATCGCGGTGCTTCGCCAACCGCACGAATCTTTCCACGGGGCAGTCGTGATAACGGCGGCGACGCCCCCCGTTTCTCCCCGGGAGCGCCGCCGCGGTCCTCCACTCCGAGAGAGTTTATATATTTCGGCGGTGAGAAATATTAACAACGTCCCCGAGTGTTATCGCCCCCGTGCGCGGCCGGGAAAAAGTGTGTTCGCGATTTCCCCCGGCTTTATCCGGGCCCGCATTACCGCTCCAGGTCACGCGCTTAAACAGAGATTCGGCGACGGTAAGTTAGGATTCTTCCGTCGGGGGCACTGCGAATTGCCTCTTTAAGAAGAAGAAGAAAAAAAAAAAAAAGAAGAAGGAGGCCGAACCGGCACGAGCTCGCTCGCACGTTTCGCGCGTGCCGCGTTTCCAGCGTTATGTAATAACGTTATCGGAGACGCATGCGGCGCGCAGCCGGTCGTTAGAATACGGTAAAGTGGGGGCGGGCGGGGAGGTGTGGGTGCGCGTGGGGCCAACCACACGTACTCCACACGGGTTTCAAATATTTGAATGCCCGTGGGCCACGAAATGAGCCAGAAAAGAGCCGTACCGTGGCTAATGACATTACGACTTTAGGATGCTCTCGGGCAAATTACATTTGCCAGGCGGGCAGGTGGACGGTCAACAAACCTGCGCCGTTTGGGGTGGAACGACGGTGGAAAACACGGGTATAATGATATGATTCGTTGATATCGAGTGAAATTGCGGCGAAGCGCGTAGATACGTTTAATAATTAAAGTACGCGGCACGCTAAGTGGATCGATAATTAAGCGCTCCACACCGCGGGCTCCTCTTCAAGCTTATGATTTTACCTTACGTTTCGACGGTTTACGAGTGTCGTTTTAACGGAATTAGAACGCGCCGTTCATCCCGGCGCGAATCTATCGCGAAATACGCTATACAATTTTTCGGAAGACAAAGGATATTTTTTTTTTTTTAGAGAGCTGTTCGGATGTTTTTTATAATTACATCTCCATTATCCTGAAATATTTCGTCGAGTTTTCTCGTGACGACAAAAACGTGGGTCCCGCTCGTTTCTCTCTCTCGTAGAGAAGTTTCCCCGCTTTATTCATAAGCGCCGTATCACGTTTGTTTTTAGTCGTCGCGAGTTCGAATTAAGAGACGCCACGTGCGCGTCGGAATGAAATGCCCGGCGCACCTGCGACAAATCGCTGATGTTGCCCGCTCGTACATCCAAAATAATTCGAATTGCTACGTAGTTGATCCGAGGGTTTTTACGACGCGAGATCGATGCTCATGTGCTTCTCGCTCGTCCGTGATCCAGAAGCCTCGATGCGGTCAGCACCGTCAGGAAGACTAAATGAAAGAATAACGATACATTTGGGGAATGGAGCGAAATGCGACAGGAAATTAAGCTGTAAATCACTCTAATTGCTCGAACTTTTTGACAGTCAGTTTTGAAGTCGCTTTAAAGTCGCTCATTAACGTATATAGGATGAATTCATTAGGACGCGGACGCGGAGAAACATGGTTTGAAAATCTTTAGATTGTGAATGCAGCCACGGGCCACGCCTTAAGTTATCCCACGATTTTATTCAAGTTTTATGCAACAATAATCTGGCGCGTTGTTTATTATACAGTATCAGCATTTTAAATGATGAAAAAATTAGTTTTTCTTCTCTTTTTCTTATACATTGTTACGTAGAATGATATGTGGAAAAGAAAAGTGTCACTAAAATTTAATTAATATCAAAAATTAACTTTCCCGTATCTTTTTATGTGTATAAGAAACTTTATGTTTTGTCGCACGACATTCCTTATATCTTTCTACGTGTGTACAAGAAACTTTATCATACAAGTCCCTGTCATCTTTAGAGTTACATCTTGGATAATTCTTGGTAGTAATAATTAAAAACTAACTTACGACACAATATACGATAAGATCATGCTTCTCAAGCAGCTCAGTACTTCCGTTCTTAGTAAGAAATAACTCGCTTCTCAGCTTCGTATCTCCTTGATATACGTATTCATATGCTGAATCGCGCATTTTCGTGCGCACGAATGTGTGGTTTGCGCGCAGAAATGCTCTAGTCATTTTGGTATGCGGCTTAACGTGTGGGCAGCTCCTCGTCTGAGCACGAATGAATATGATCCACCACTTGTCAGTTTATCAAAAAGATTTGTGTGCTGAGCAGTTCTCCGCGTGTGAACGAGTCTCATGCTGCTGTATTTGCCCTGCGCATAAATATGAATCTGCTTAGTAATTATTAATTGTGATATAGTAGATAAACGATTAGATTCTTTCTTTCTTGTAAACAACTTCTTTTCGACGACGGTCGATAAGAAATTTGATAAGAAGGTTGCTAAGAAATTTAAATCTTTCTCATGATGCTCGATATTTTGTTTTGTCTAGCGTCTAATCATTTTAATTTATCGTTTTTTAATTTTAATTTTTTGGGAATATATGTCGGATCGAACACTGGACGGTGTCGAAAAGAATAAAATCCGATTTAATAAAGTGTCTTTTATTCTTGCTTTTAAATACACGTCTTTACTCGCCGGTGTCCGTCGGTCAAATCTCTCGTCCGTTCGTTATTCCATATCGGTTCTCTATACTTTTCTCCTTCGAGATTCTTCTTAAAAAATAAATTCTTAATTTTTAATTCTTAATAACAAGTACAGTATCGAAGGAGAACCAGTTTGCTGCTATTGTTTGTCTCTTTTGTCTCGAGTCGTTAAACGTTTCAAATTATGTTACAAAGAAAATACAATCATGAAATATATGATTAATACAAAAAGAAATTATTACAAAGGAATATAGAAAATACATAAGTCTATTCTGTTGAGCTGATTCGGATGTCAATGCATGCAACGATATAATCGCCACAAATTTATGTTTTTTTTTTGTTTTTTTTTTTCTTACGTAAGCTATTGTGCGCAACAATATATACATATATGACGTACGTTATTTCTTCCACATGGCGAATTACTATGATCGAGCGGAGCACCGTTTTAGGCGTCGTAAAAATGCTCAAGTACGCGCCTTACCGGTTTCACCTTTTTTACATCCTCCTCGACGGACGAACAAGCGGAGGCGCCGGTGCATCAATCAGCCCTCGAAGGAAGAGCCGCTAATTGCACCATCCACTATATCTTGATCAATCGAACGTGGGGCGTTGGAATTAATTAGAACGATGACGTGCTTGCTCATGACGAGCCAATGTAGCGTTCGGTCGCGATAGAAGTTGTCGATTCGGTTGTACGAGGTAGATATCCTATCTTAAGTGAGTAGTTTCCCTCGCATCGGCATCAAAAAGGAGGAACGCTGGCCGGCAGATAAAACGAGCAAATTACCTCACTGACCGTCCGGGCCTATCGCTCGGAACGACAGTCCTTCTTGACAGTTAGTGTGATTCCAAAATAAATTCGCCGGATATCGCCGCGGCGCGATAAGTAATTTTTTTTGTCGAGCGCACTTCACGACACCGGCTAATTCTTAATCGGGAAAAAGAATATATTTCTCATCCCGACGGAATCAGGTAATATTTCGATAATAATTGCGGTTGCTCCCGAAGCGCAAAAGGAAAAGATACATCAACGTGTCGAAAATTGCGGATCGGATACATTTACACGAATTAAAAATATTCAAATTTTTCTCGTTTACATATAATTATCTGTACGTAAATTAATGAACCACTCGTCAGAAATAATAACGAGCTGGCCCTGGCAAAAGTATGGTCGTCAGTTTAAGATTAATTACGCGTACATCAACGGCAACGCGACAATTGCCGGCAAATCGACTTCTTGTTCCGAAAGTCTATTACGTTCTTGCGATACTTTTTGGCGGTACGACCCCCAGCCGGCTACAAACTGTTCGCATAGATAATATTCGATGATTTATCGCGTTACGCCGATATCTAGCGAGGGAGATAGAGGGACCGTGGATAGGAGGGAGAGAGAGAAAGAAAGAGAGAAAGTCATCGCTCGTTAAAGATACGCAACGCTGCAAAATAACATCGATGGATGATAACCAAGCAAAAAGTAAATAATAATGTCGCGAATGCAAACCCTCGCTTTGATTAAAAAATATAAATGAGCCCGTCTACGCCGCGAACCTGTGTCAATTTCTGTGGCAATTACACCGCCGGGAGATCTCTCGGCCATGCCGATTTCCGACAGTCATCGTCGGAATCACGAGTTATTCCGTATTAAGTGTCCATTCCATGACCCTCGTTTCCCTTCCCATCAATTCACTTCTCCTTCCTCCATCTCGTTCTCGTCTTCCTTTCCGTCTCTCTTCCGCGCACATCTACCTTATTTGGGCTGATTGCACCACAACGGCCATCAAGCGCCGAAACCTGGCACGACTCCGTCACTTCCCAATCCTGACAGGACGAAGAAATACATTGTAAGAGCCGCCAAAAAGAGGATCTTATCGCACGGTATCGTGTTTTCGGAGAAGAGGGGCGTAACGCAACGTTTCTCGTATGTCGTAACGCGCATCTCGTGCCACGGAGTTGCCCCGCGGCGAACATCGAAATTTTCTATAATTATTGATAGCACCGATAATATTCCGACACAACGTTGCTGACGTGGCAACTAGAGTTCTCTTGTTATTACGCGATAAAATCCACAGACGGTCTCACATATATTAAACAGATTAAAAGAGATTCACACAATTAAGAACTTTTCATTAAAAAGAGTCACAAATATTTATATTTTTGAGAAGTTAATTTTTCATTGCGACAAAGCCTCATATTTGGCAAAGCTAATATATATATATCAAAGAGATCTATTTATAGACATTTATGAAATAAAATAGTTTTAAATACTATTCTTTTCCAATTTTTTCCAAGTGTATATGAGTAAAATGTTAAGAAGACAAATTATATCTTTTATAATATAGATTTTTGATAATTATAAATTTATGTTCAGCTTTTGATTACTTGAATCAGTTTATACGTATTATGCAATATCTTTTTTATTTAACATATAAAATTATTAGTATAATTCAAATTCACAGATGTAAGTAACACAAAGATACGAGATAAACAACCTTTTATAAAAATAAATCTCAATAATAAGAACAATGAGTGAAAAATCAATACTGAAACATAAACAAACAATAAATAATGATAATTCTATAATCATATCTGTGCCGCCAATAGAATGCTCGTAATAAAATTAAGCGGCTACGTAAATTAATATGCTTTTTAAATAATAATAATAAATGGCATGTTTAAAGTTAAAGTTATGAGACAAACATTAACTTCAGCTTAAAATTAGTATGATCGTCACGTTATATTAAAGGACGTTTATTAAAGCAGAAAATTGCATCACGATTTTGTTATAAATGGTTCCTTAAATTCAGTAAGTCCGGGCGATTAGGCACAACGAAAATCGGATGAGCCGCGTGGTAATGCCGCAAAATTATATGTTAGTGTATACGTAGCAACGTAAGTAGGGTATCTATATGGTGCCTTAATAGAGATGAGTGACGACGCTTAATTAGTATTAGCTTAAAAGATACCTCGTACTGCCCATATACGAGTGCGTTAACCGTAAGTACTGACAATAAATGTCCCGGGGAATTTAGTTGTCAGAGATAAAGGATGCTAATGGCGCAAGCGCGCAACATTTATGCAGGCAATGATATCAACCGAGTGTTCCGAGTGGTTTATTATTATGGCGCGTTCGTATTGCACTTTCTGCCGTTAAAATGCGCGGCAGCTGGAAAAAAAAATAAAACAGCGAATTTTCCCGGCGCTTTGCAGGTGCCATTCACTTTTCCGCTGGAAAATTTATGAGCGGCTAACTAATAGCACTCTGAAAATCAGACATGACGTTTAATTAAAAGTGCAAATATCACCGCGGTACGATATCGTCGGATATAAATTCTAGAAATTGCTGGCTACGATTTGGTCAATACTCATACGACAACTAATTTAATTATACACACAACTTTAAAACGGACACGGTATAACAATCTTTATTATGACATAAACATAGCCAATCTACGAAAACGGTATAATGGACATTCTCCGATTTATTTGTCGCATTAATGTTATTTTCCAATACGTATTGGTAAATAACGATTATTGAACTATGGTGAGACGCCAGAAAATCGACAAAACGTCGTTCACAAGGCAGTCACGAACAGTACTATGTGAGTTGCACTGGAGCATAATTTTACGAGATCGTCAGCATCCTGTACAAAGGCTCGCGTTGCACAGCGGAACGTGACGGCGACGCTTAATTCGCGAGAAAAGAAAGGAAAGAAATCTCTAGTCCGTCGTCTTTGGACGTATTTCAGTCAAGTATACTCCTGGAAGTATCGTTGGGGAGGCATCGCGTCAATTGGGAAAGACAAAGGGCGCAAGGGGTAAATCGAAGGTGAAGGACCGACGGGATGCTCTCTGAATAAAACGGTCCATTTGCCAAAGGCTAAGGGTAAGGGCACGGACGAAGGGTAAATATGCAAGAGCCCTCGTGCTTCCGGATAGAATTGACAGAAAGAGAGAGAGAGAGAGAGAGAGAGAGAGAGAGAGAGAGAGAGAGAGAGAGAGAGAGAGAGAGAGAGAGAAGAGAAGAAGAAGA